GCAGTACACGCGCGACACGCCCCTTGCATGGCGTCTGATAAAACGGCGCCTCGAGCCCTATCCGAGTCGAAAAGTGTGAGAATCGTCTCTTCACACCTCCAAACCGCTAAGTCTTTTTTCGCCGCCGAACCGCTCTAGCGGCGCTGCGCGCCACGTGGAGAGCGCGGCGCGTGCAGAGGAGCACGCACTGCGCACGCACCGCGAAGGCCGTCTCACGAGTCGGCGAGCCGAGCCCTATTCATAGCAACAAGTGTGAACGGCGTCTCTTCACACCTCGAGCCGTGAGCGCCGTCCGGCGCCCTCTCACCGCCCCAAGGGCGCTCCGCGCCGTGCTAACGGCGCCGAGCGTGTAGCGCAGCACACGCGCAGCACGGCCCGTGAACGGGGTCTGAAAATCGGCGCCTCGAGCCCTATCCGAGTCGAAAAGTGTGAATTTTGTCTCCTCACACCTCGAAGCCGCTAAGTCTTTTTTTCGCCGTCAAGCCGCTCTAGCGGCGCTGCGCGCCGCGTTGAGAGCGCGGCGCGTGCAGAGGAGCACGTGCTGCACACGCACCGCGATGGCCGTCTCGTGAGTCGGCGATCTGAGCCCTATTCGTGGCACAAAGTGCGAACGGCGTCTCTTCACACCTCGAGTCGTGAATGCCGTCCGGCGCCTTCTCGCCGCCCCAAAGGCGCTCCTCGCCGGGCTAGCAGCGCCGAGCGTGTAGCGCAGCACACGCGACACACGGCCTTTGAATGACGTCTGACAAATGTTTTTCTTCTTCTCAGCGCATCCATCTCGGCGCGTCGATTCTTCGTTTTCCGGGTTCCAATTCTTTTCCTGCCTCGCCTGTCGCGTGAATCGTTTCGTGCGACCGCCTTTTGTCGAAAATTCTTTACGGAGCCGCAAAATTCTTTTTCGGTCGCGGACGGCACAGCTCGCTCGCTCGCTTGCCATTTGCTCACGCTCGCGCAGGCGCGTCGCAGCGTGCACCCACGCAACGCCTCCGCTCCGTCCACACCACCCACTGCGTAGCCATGGCATTTCCGTGTGCATGCGACGGACTCGCTCTCCTGCACTTGCCGCCGCCCTCGCCACCGCCGGTTCCGAAACTGCTCTGCGGCCGCCATCGCACTCACTGCCTCGCTCTGCAGGACTCGACACCAGCGCCACCTGACCCGCACCCGCTCGCTCTCGCTCACGCTTCGTGCTGTCGCTGCTAGGGTCTTCGCTCATCGACTCGGAGCGCCGGCCGCCTCTCTCGTGCTCTTTTCGCTGTCACGTCACCTCGACACCGCGCGGTCGCGACTCTCGATGTTGCGTCGGCTCTCTCGGTCACAGCGTCACCACCCGCTGCGCCGAGCAGCAAAGGCGAGGCGCAGCTCGCATCGGCGGTGGCCGACCGCCGTGCCGACGGAAAAAATGCCTTCGATCCCGCCGCAACCCTCCATCTCACCGCCGCCGTCTTCGCCACGAGACCGCCTCCGGCGAGCTCGGCCGGCTCTCCTCGCCCACGCGGCGCTCTCGAGCGCCCCAAGCATAAAGATTGCCGGGTGTCGTTAGGGTTAATCAGGGTAGTGTTGCGGTTAGGGTTAGAGGTGGCACACCGTCATGACGTTAGGGTTAGGATCACGTCGAGAGCTAGGGTTAAGTTAGGGTTACACGCTCCCCCGCCACGGCTCGAAGAAGGGCTCAAAAATCGATAAAACGGTCAACCTCGCGAAAAAATCGCGCGCTGCGCGCGCAGGAAAAGAAAGAGAGGGAGAGAGATTCATTGCCACCGCGCAACCACACCCCGGCGGAGCCCGGGAGAAAGTCGTGGAGCGCAGCGACACGACTTTCTCCCGGGGCGACGCCGGCGCGCGCGGAAAACGCGGTTTTCGCGAAAACGGTGGAGGCCGCCCCGCGCTACCGCCCCATCAAACCCGCACCGCCTGAAGCCCTCGGGAAGGCCCTCAAAACGTCGACGCGGGAGGGCGAAAATCGCCTCGCTTCAGAGCCCGCGGGAGGACGGACCCCACGCCGCCCCACGAGCGACCCGCGCAACCCGCGACCAACAGCCGTGCGGAGAATCGGCAGGAGACGTCCGCAGCCCCCAGGATCGTCCTCGTCCGATCTCACCATCGGACAACCATGAACCTTCCCCGGCGCGCCGCAAATCTCCAGGCCCTCTGCTCCACTTTGGACGACCGACTTTATTTCGGGTG